ACACACATCACCATCATCATCATCACCATCAACATCATCATCATCAGCATCGTCATAGTCATCATCGCCATAACCATCAGGATCGCCATCAGCATCATTGTCATCATCGGCATCACCAGCATCAGTACAAGCATCAACATCTTCGTCCTCATCAGCATCATCATCACTATCAGCATTGTCATTAGCATCGGCATCATCATCATCATCATCATCGTCACAGTCGCCATCATTGCCATCAGCAGCACCAGCCGCATTATCATCATCAGCAGCATCAGCATCATCACCATCACCGTCACAATCATCATCACGAGCACCATCATCATCACACTCATCATAATTATCACCACCATCATCATCATCATCGCCGGCAGCAGCAGCATCACCATCATAATCATCATCAACAGTATCACCATCGTCATCATTAACAACAACAGCAGCATCATCACCATCACCATAATCATCACCATGGGCAGCATCATCAGCATCATCATCACCAGCATCAGCATAATCACCATTAGCATCAGCATCATCACCATCATCATCGACATCATCATCACCATCGTCATCATCGTCATCAGCATCAGCATCATCGTCATCATCTTCAGCATCTCCAATCACATAACCATCATCATCACCACCATCGTCATCATCGCCGTCATCACCATCATCATCATCATCATCATCATCATCATCATCATCATCATAATCGGCCTCACCATTATCAACTTCATCGTCAGCAGCAGCATCATCACCAATATCCTCAGTACCACCACCACCATCATCGTCGCCATCAGCAGCATCACCATCACCACTATCACGCCCATCATCATCATCATCAGCATCATCATGATCGTCCGCACTCCTACGCCCATGCGCCTACTCACACATTTCATATGGAAGGAGGCTCGAGCGGGAGTCTCGTCCGTGAGTGAATCGCGACGACACCTCGAGCAGAAGCCCCTCCCCATGGGGTCCCCACTCCCATGTTCGAATCGCAGTGGGTCATCCAAACCGTGTGAGTGTCGTCACTATTAGGCTCCTCAGGCCTCAATCTGAAGGACGTCTTGAGCGGGAGCTCCGTCTGCTAGTGAATCGCGAGGAAGTCTCCAGCGGGAGCCCCTCGCAATGGGGTCTGCACTTATGCACGAATCTGAAAAGGTCATCGAAACCCAGTTACCGTCGTCACCTCTGGGCTCCTCAGCCCGCGCGGGAGCCTGGTCTGTGAGTGAATCGCGGGGAAGTCTCGAGAGGGAGCCCTCTCCATACGTGGTTCCCATTTGCATGTTCGAATCCGCGCGGGGCCATTCAAACCTTGTAAGCGTCGTCGCCGTTAGGCTCCTCAGGCTTGAATTTGTATGGGGCCATCGACACCTTGTGAGTGTCGTCACTTTTGGGTTCCTGGGATGTCTTGAGCGAAAGCATTGGATGTGAGTTAATGGTGGGGAGTCTCGAGCGGGAGCCCTCTACCTATGGGCCTATGTGGCCCGCGCGTCATGTCGGTGACCCGAGGCGTCCATCGGCATGTTGTAGCACGCGTAGCACTTGAGCACCCCTCAGGGGGCACACCGTGAGGATGTCTCGAACGGGGGCCTCGTCCTTTTGTGAATCGCGAGGAGGTCCGAACGGGAGCCTTCCTCTAAATGGCCCGATGCACCGGTTCGCGATCCAGCCATCGGGGAAGGCGCCCTTGCCGGCCGAGTCGGCAACGGCGCCAAGGTATCTCGACATACGCGCCCGTGGGGGAGGAGGTGGATAAGGTATTCCAGATTTCGTAATAAAAGGGAGGGGGTCTCATTTCGGGGGGGGGCTCTTCCAGGCTATCTTGGAGGGCCTGGGGGGTCTGGGGACGATGTTTTGGAGGGTTCTCCCACGGGGGGGGGTCTGAAATGGCTTGTCTTGGAGGGTCCAGATCCCCTCCCTTTTATTACGAAATCTGGAGTAGAAGCAGCACGAGGCTGAGAGGGGAGGCGGAGCAGGGGGCGGGAGGAGGGTCTTCGCCAAGGAGACGCCACTCCTCGCGAACTGGAAGGCGACTTGCGGAGCATGCCCGTTCTTGCCACTGCGGTAGCGCAGGTGTTCTATCGGGGGGCGCAGGAAGATGCCCGCGTTTTTTTTGATGGAGCTGCTGGACTCCGACAGCGAAGACGGTGGCCGTGCTTTTTTGCTTCGTGAACACCGATTCGATTCATTGCGGGAACGCGCTCTGCGAAGGGCAGATGGGCGCGAAGGAAATGCGGCCGCGTACTTGCGTTCAGGCGCCGGTGCTGACGCGCGAGGGCCCGCGGATCACCGCTGCGAAGGACGTCATAGACAAAGCCTATCGAGCTTCCGAGATAAATGTGGATTACAGGTGGGATTGCCCGCGAGCGTGCGGCCACGCTTCCGCGGCGAAGAGCACGCATATGACTAGGGCGCCGGAAATTTTGTGGGAGCAATTGAAAAGATGGACTTGGGACGCGACCGCAGGGAGGGAGATTCTTCGCGCGCGCTACTTGAGATCATGTCGAGAGGCGCGCGTCGGGAAAACCGTATACGCACTGCGGAGCTGCGCGTTTCATCGCGGGGAAGCTGAGCGACGGGGGTATGATGTAGCTGCGTGCGCGAGCGCCGTGAGCGGCCAGGAGCAATGGATGTTGCGAGATGATGGGGAAGCGAGCTGCGCGCGGCATCCGGCGGAGACAGCAGAGTGGCAAGCCACAGAAGGCATGAACGTTTATAGGTTCGTATGCGAGCGCGCGCAGACTCGCGGTGGACAGTCGAGCAGGTCGCTCCGCCGATCGGCAGGCGCGATGGGCACCGACAGATCGAAGGACGACGCGGACAGCATGGGAGAAAGCAGGCTTGCGGGCGGGGAAGGGAGTCGGGAACGGCCGCGCCCGAGTGGAATTGGAAGTGCCGGGGCAGCGCCCGCAGCTGAGAGGTTCTTCGATTGCGCGGCGCCCGGGAGGAGGGCGCGTGTTGGGGGGCGCGTGGGAACGGACGCGGGGGGGGGGGCCGACGCTGGCTGGACAGGGAGCTCCTGCACGCCGTCGGGCAGCGACGTAGCGCGGAAGTCGCTGGCGCTGGCAGGCGGGAGCGGTCGGACAGGGGCAGCGCGGGGAGAGGGCCAACGCCGCCACCCGCAACGAGTGGGCGACCCGGAGAGGTTTCAGAACGCAAACGGAAGAGAGTCGGAGCGCGCGGCGGAGAGAACGGCGCGGCGTTGGGCAGGGAAGCGTTGGTTGTTGCGTGGAACGGAGGAGGGCGCAGCGATGGGGCTGCATGCGCCGTCAGATGCGTCGGCGAGAAGGCCCAAATCCTTCAAACACCTGCGTGACATCGACGATCTGGGCGTCTTGGGGCTTTCTCGTGAGGCCTCTTGGAGCGCTCTTGGGGCCTCTTGGAGTCCTCCTTGGGCCGTCTTGGAATCATCTTCGGGTGCCTTGGAGCACTCTTTGGCCTCGGCAATGCGAACGCGGCGTAATTCGCAAGGGTGCGCGGACATAATTTATGCTGCTACGTTGTGTTGTTTCGGGGGCTCTCAACTTGTATAATTTGCTAGGGTGTATGGCCTTGGGGACGCGAGTATCATGTGCGTTACAAAGACTCATGGCTTCGGGGGCGCGAACATCGGATTAATTACGAGCTTGTGTTGCTTCGGGAACGCAAATTGTGCACACTGTTCTAAGGTTTGTGGCCTCGGGGACGCGAGTGCGGTGTCTCGGGGACGCGAATCTTACATATGTTTACGTGTCCCACGCCCTCCCATGAATTCAGACAACGCGATTCGGGCGTGGTAAATGGGGTGGTTTGGGACTCTTCCCCTCGCGCGGAGCTCAACTGTTTACAGTAGGAAGCGGAAAGCAAGACTTCCACACTGGAGACTTGAAGCTGGAACTGGTGCAGGGAGCAACGAGCCTAATCCGCGCAGTCTGGCGGCCCCACAGACGGGCCGGCGGATTCTGGAACATCCTCGTGCGGGGCGAGGACGAGGCAGGGTCGGGGAGGGGGGGGGGGAGGGGCGAGAGAGGAGAGGGGCCAGGGCAAGCTGGGTGCGCTCGCGCCACGTCTGGCATCCTGCCCCTCCCTCCTCCAAGCCTTCCCATGTCGCTGATGTTCTCCCTTATCCGCGGGCGCTTGCTATGACCGACCTGGAACTCCAACAGGACGTCCCCTCTCGTGTTGTGCGCAATCGGAAGAGGGAAACTGCGTGCATAGGACGAGGAGGTGGCGGGGTGAGCAGGAGGATGATCAGGAGGCAAAAGGGGAGGATGTGGAAGGACGGGGACGAGGAAGAACAGCATAAGCAGGAACTGGAGTGGAAGGAGCGGGAGGAGCAGGATGACCAGGGGAAGGCGGAGGATGGAAATGAGGCGGGCGACAACGATGGAGAAGGACTTGGATCCAGAAAAATAGCCCACGCTGGTGCGAGAGCGCCATCCTGAACGATGGGAGCAGAGCGCCGATCCGAAAAGAAGGTCCACGCTGGAGCGGGAACACCATTCTGAAACACCGAGAACAATCGGATTGCAACAAGCCGTAGGACAACCACCACTGCCCAATTTTGCTTGCAACAAGTTGTATTCTGAGAGAGTCGGCCATCTACCAGACGGAGTCAGGTGAGAGAGTAGTATTCATATCGAGTAAGTGTAGGGGGGGGCGGGGGCGAGGGGAGAGGATGTGGAGGGGAGGGCGGGGGGAACGACGCCATGAAGGGAAGGGGTCCTGAGGAACACATGTCCCAGACCAGAGGAGCACTCCCCAGGACCATCCAGGGTCGCATTGGACCGTCCAGGCAGTCCCAGACCAGAGGGACATCACGGGTCGTTTTTAAACCGCCCAGGAGCCCGCAGAGGCCCTCCGGGGCCGACAGCGGTGAAGGACCTCCAGGGTCCCTCTTTCTCCAGTCCCCGCTTCCTTCTTGCACAGACGGGGAGGCGAAGGCAGGGAGAGTAGGGAAGCGGGATCACGAACTTTGATCTTGCCGCCAGTCAGTATGTCGCCGCCGCTGCTCGCCACAG